CTTCAGAAATTTCTGAAGAAGGGTCTAGGCCCGAAACGTCAGCCTTCCTGCTCTTCTGATGTTGCTTGGCCTGCTGTGTTCATCCAGCTCTACGCCTTGTTATCTCAGGAAATTAGACTATTGTGTTTATTTAACTAGTATTTTCTTCATACAGTACATTTTAATTCTTCTGCTACAGTAACAAGGGATGACAGAAATACGTTTAATAGCACAATACTGTGTCTATCAGTGACAATTTCTGCATACTCAGAAGGTACCATCTGAAGCAAGTAAATCTTAGTAGAATGTTTATATAATGCATGTGACTGTTTCAATACGTACTGGATAACTGGGTTTTGTAATCTCCAACAGTCTGTGCTTGGCTCTTCTCTCTGCCTCTCTGGCTTCATTTAAATCCTGCTTCAGTTGTTCTGCTTCCTTGGATCTAAAATAAGGACATTTTAAATAACGTGACAAAGAAATTTTTAAGAAAAGAAAGACTTAATGTCATGGGCAGGGCAACACCTCACCAATGCACTGCTTCAAAGAATGGCAGAAGTAGACGTTGTGCTTTTAATCTCCCCTCAATCTATTGAGAAGGCATTAAAAAGGCCTTGGGACAAATTCACAAAACAGGGGAAAGAAAAACCAAAGAAACTTCAACAAATCATGTTGAATCATTCTCAAGAACCTCCAGCAAAAACACAGAAGGCTGTTCCATCATTCAATTAAATTCATGGCCAATTGAGTCTTAACTCTGTTTACATACTTTGCTTGCATATTCTTTAATACACTTGGCTAAAACAAAAGAGCTTCCTGACCTCAATCCTGACTGGCTGAGATCTGATTCATATTTTCCTTTTTCTGGATTCCAGTACCAGATGAAATAGTTTCTCTCTATCTATCCTGTAAAGTACATGACTCATCTTAAAAACGATAAGTCAATCATCTCTTAATCTTCTATTTCCAATGAAATACAAATAGTCCTCGTGATGCAATCGTGTTAACACAGGGAGATTTGCAGTGTTGATTTCCTGTCTTTTGTTAGTGAATAGCTTGTGACAAAGGATAGCCACATGGGGAGAGAGGCCGAATGGAAAAACAGATGTAAAATAACAAGATTTTTAAAAAATATATAATGAATGACAATGTTCCAACAAGTCATATCTTCAGATCACAAATCTGAAGCAGAACTGAAACAGGTTCAGACTCCACTGAAGGTTTATACTAGAGTTCTCTAGTTTTCCAGCAAACATAGTTAAAAATTACAGAACAGTTTGATAACTGTATGTTTGTTCTCTACCTTTAACAATTCTGGCATTTCAAATGTGAATTTGCTTGCAGTTAGATAAGTAGTGGAACATTTTAATATACCAATATAAAGCTCAAAGAGTAAAAGGTCCATTCCGCAGGGACTGTTCCCTCCGGGTCACCTGGGTCCACTCTTCCTTCACTCCCAACACACCCCGACATCCCCATGGCACCTTCCCCTGCAACTGCCAAAGGTGTAACATCTACCCATTTACCCCCTCCCTCCCTAGGATCCAAGGGCCCAAATATACCTTCCAGGAGAAGCAGCATGTTACCTGCACTTCCCACAATCTAGTTTACTGTATTCACTGCTCACAATGTGGCCTCCTCTACACTGGGGCAACGAAACATAGACTGCATGACTGCTTCACAGAACATCTATGTTCTGCCAGCAAAAAAGTCCTTGAGCTTCCAGTTGCCTGCCACTTTAACACATCACCCTGTTCCCTGGCTAACATCTCTGTCTCAAGCCTGCTGCAGTGTTCCAGTGAAGCTCAGCGCAATCTGGAAGAACAACACCTCATTTTCCACTTGGGGACCCTATAGCCCTCCGGACTCAATATCAAGTTCAATAATTTTAGGGCCTGAACTCTCCTATGTCCTAGCCCCCTACCACACACACTAGGCCTCGTTATCACATAGCCTGCCATTACACACAACCTATTGTTAGTCATTAATAGTCTCCATTAACAGCTATTCCCCTCCTAGCCAGATCGTTATCAACTCCTTTGTCTGTCCAACTGTTCTCCTCTCTCTTTGGGCTCTATCCCCACCCTTCGTTTACTCCTTACCCTGTCCCCCCCCACCCTATCTTCTGCATATAATCCAGCATTTTCCTGTCTACCGTCAGTTCTAAGGAAGACTCACCGGACCTGGAACATTAACTCTGATTTTTCTTCACTGATGCTGCCAGATCTGCTGAGCTTTTCCAGCAACTTCTGATTTTGTTCCTGATTTACAGCATCCGCAGTTTTTTATAGAATAAAAGGACATGGACCTAGCATTTAATGTTCCCATAAAGACACCTTCTGATTTTATCAGGTTCATAAATGATTGATATTAACAGGACAGAAGGAAGCTGTTCAAATTCAGTGAGATAGTACGAATAGCTCAAGTTCCTCTTGATATAACTTTGTTTTCCACATTGGTGAATCAGGCTATATTCAAACAATGACATTCACAGCACCCATGTCCCAATATTATCTCTCCTGCCCAGAACTGTCTTCAGCGTTTAACAAATGCAGTGAGCCTAAAAGTACACTGTGCCTCTGTAGGCCTTTGGGCACCTAATATTTATAGACCAGATTCTCAATATGTTATAGGTATTTTCCCACAATTAAGCCACAATTTTCCAGGTCTTGTACTAGGAAACAGAGTCAGCAAAAAAAACAGGTGAAACATATGAACATATCAGTTAGAAGTAGGAGTAGGCCCTGTTCCACTATTAAATAAGATTTTAGTGATTTGATTGCAAGCTGAACTTCACACTCTCACCTACACCTGATAACCTCCTCCCCTATCCTTGATTAACAGGGATCTATCCACCTCTGCCTTAAAAATATTCCATGACCTGACTTTTGATAAGACGGGTCCAAAGACTCTCAACTATTGATCAGTTTTGGAACAAGTTTATGTTACAAGATGGCAGACAGTAAACTTCCCATTCCTTCCACTGCTATCAACACAATGAACAGCTGCATGAGTAACTCCACTTTCTGCTGTTTGTGAAAAGAGGTGAAGCTGGGCAACAGGGTGGTACTAACTTACTGTGCACATCACTATCTTCCAGTCAGTAAGTAATTAAAACCCCTTTTTAATCCCTCAGGTTATTTAGCAAATCATTTACATCTTCAGATCTAAACGCTACTTGGGAGATACACCTCAGTTAAGAGCCTTTCCCTACGTCTTTCAAACTTGTTTCAACAGAAACTTGCAGAGAATGAAAAGCATTACCCATATCTGAAATCCCAGTCAAGATGAAGACGATTCTGGAGATGCTACTATCTACCCATAAGCGAGACTAATATTGTTTGGATCAGAGATTGTAGGGACTGCAGATGCTGGGGAATCTGAGATGACAAGGTGTAGAGCTGGATGAACACAGCAGGCCAAGCAGCATCAGAGGAGCAGGAAGGCTGACCCGAAGGGTCCAGGCTCGAAACGTCAGCCTTCCTGCTCCTATGATGCTGCTTGGCCTTCTGTGTTCATCCAGCTCCACACCTTGTTATCTCTAATATTGATTGGACTGGGTTTGCAATTACATAATCACCATGTTCCTCGTGACTGATTCTTTAGGATTTATTGTTTTCATAAATCCTTTTCTGTTGTTCATTCTGTAGTTTTTTTTTTAAGACTCTTTCTTCACATTTGCTATCTTCCTTATTCTAAATGGTCTTACGTTGAGATAATCAGCAAATGGTGAGCAATGGTAAAAATGGAAAGAAAAGAAAGCCTGATAACTGTAAAATTTAATGCTAACATTCAATTTCAGACTTTTTTCCTTCTTGTGGTGGTTTTAAATAAAATCCGTATGACATTTGTCATTTATCTTCTGCACAAAATTACTGATTTGCAAATGCAATTTAACCAACCTCCGCTCTGAATCCTCCACTAACTTGACAGCTATCAGCTCAGCTTCTCGCATCTTCTGTTCAATTAGACGTTTTTCCTCTTTAGTCTTCAGAGCTGTGACCTCCAGCCTATGCCTCTCCTGCTCGGCTTCTGCAGCTTTCTGAGCAAGCAGTTTGGCTTCCTCCTCTGCAATCTGTGCCTTCTCAGCGAGTAAATCAGCTGTCTCCTCAGATCGAATCTGACAAATACCATTAATTTTTTGAATGAGTAACAATACTTCCGATAAAACCTAACACTTTCTGTCTATGGTCAATTTTGTATTTTATTTTGATCACTGCCAACATAACAACTAAAACTGGTTACTTCTGGCTGTAAGGCAGAATGCATGCCTTAGATCAGCGTTAACATTGTACTTGGATAGGAAGACATCACACAGAACATTCCATGTTCAGAACTGATTAATGGGTATCGCTATTCAATTTAATTAAAACATCACTTGACCAACGTGTGAATTTTAATGTAATGTTGAAAATGATATCTTGACTCAAATTTCTGAGGGCCAGGATCAATCTTAAAATGAGTTAGCATAGTGAGTGCATTTTTTAAAGTTTGCAGTTACTGCTTACATAATACTTTCCCTCATCAGTTCCAAAATAATCTGAGGATGCTATAAGCCCCTCAACCCTTCCCCTCTCCCAAAGTACCTCCAGGGGTTGCTGACCTATGCCCCACTTAACTCTCTCCCAACTCCTGCTGCAATACCAGCATTGACCACTGCTGCTGGTGTCACTGAGTTTTCTTTGGCCACGACCATTAGCTCCTTAACAAACATCTGCACAATAATTAACAAGCCTCTTTCGCATAAATTCAGGCTCTTACTCTCCTACAGTATACTACATGAACACTAATTAATACAAATACATTAGATCAATTCAATTTAGATTTTGCACATGACTTCCTTAATTTCAAACAACACAACTAGTGAATTTTGAATCACATCAACAGCTGATGGTTATCAGCATATCCCTTCTGCACTGCATGTTACTGCCAAACTAATATCACATAGTTTTCATTACATATATATTTAAATTGATGCATATAGATGATATTGTACAGAACCAAACAATAAGAGAGTGAGCCCACCAGGGCTTCATTGGCCAGCCTTGACTCATCCTGTAACTGGTAAAGGCGTCTCTCCAGATCTTCTTTTGCTCGTTCAGCCTCCTCCCTCAACTTTTTTTCTCTGGCCAATCTTTGGCGTTCCATCTAAAATAGAAAAAAAAATCCATATTTAAAAAAAAAAATTTGCATGCACTGCCAATATTAAATAACATAATTTGTGCAGATTTTAGATCTGCATATCTGGATTTCACCTTTTTTCTGGCTTTTTCTTCTCTAGCTTGAGCTTTCATTTGTTGGACTTCAATTGAATCCACTTTTCTTCTTCTCATGAACAGGTCATGATTTCCAATACACAACTGTAATATCTGAAAAGAGACTTCTTATTAACCCAGTAGAATGAAAGCACTTCACATCTTTGCACCACAGAACACACATAGATAACTATTTTTCCATTGACTAATTTCTTTTCCCTTCACAACAACTGCAGTAGGAATTTAGGAATGCTCAGGGCAGCTGTGGCGAACAATCTGATTAGCATTTTAGGCTCATGAAACCAGCCACTCCTTCATCAGGTGTTTGATTTACTTTGGGAATCTGCAGACTCAGTGAAATCTCAGATGTTAACCATGTTTACCTAACACCTTGACTTACATAACATTCTAGGTGGCAGGAAAGGAACCAGTATAAGGTTCATAAGCTCTGATGAAGAGTCACCTATGTTCAAAACATCAACTTGCTTTCTCTCCATGGAAGCTTCCTGACCCGCTACGATCTCCAGCACTTGTTGTTTTCATAAGGTTTATAATGATTCAGAAGCACCTTTCATTTTAGGTTTCAAATACACATTTAATTAAAACGCATCTCATAAACAAAGCTATTTCGTCTCCATGAAGATTAAAAATAAGTTTGAAATGTATTATTTAATCCAAACATTTTTCAATGACTATTCTTAGAGTCTTTGATTCTCCAAATACTAGAATATCCATATTGCCACCAAATATATTAACATCTTAAGGCAGTAACAGACGCAAACCAGATTACTTCTACTTCTGAGCTACAATTGAACCACAGGTGAACGGTTGACAAAGTTAAAATGTCAGTTGTTGTGGAGAGCACCACATTTAGGGAATACATTGACAAGATTGAGATCTGGACTACCACTTTTCAAAACATGCTTTATTTTCCCAATGCGGACTGTCACTCAAGTAAGAACAGATACCAGAGACTGTAGCTGGTAAAAAAATCTTAGACATCTTTGACTGCATCTCATGATTTCATGACTTTATGTTTTGATTCCATGAAAGAAACTACACAACCATTTGAAATAACTACCATCTATATTTATTCTAAGTTTACAATACAATAATAAACTGTGGAACAACAGTACTCTGACTGAGGACACCAAACTATGAGTCTACAAAGCCTGCATCATTTTGCACTTCTCTATATTGGTGTGATCTGGACAATTATGCTAGGCAGGAGAAAAAGCTGACTAAGTTACACCTTTGCTGTCTCAGATGTATCCTTGGCACCTCTTGGCAGGACAAGATCACCAACTCACAGGTCCTGAAGCATGTTGATTCCATCAGCATACATTCATTTCTAAGCCAACAATGTCTTTGAATGTTTAGCTACATTGATCTGATGGTTGCTGGCTGTATACACAAAGACTGTGCAGTGAATAGGATACTGGGTCAATACCTCCTGAGCGTCCAAACTACCTTTACCAAGGACACTTGCAAGAAAGATATGAAAAACTGCAAGACAGTTGCTGATGGTTGCGACCTCTGGAGGCTGACTGTTTGAAGGCTGTTGGATGAGGTGTGCAGAACCAAAACTTTAGTTGGCTAAGCAGAGGCTGGCAAATTGTGCACGTTCTCAGCCCATCATCTTCCACTGCAACAAATGCAGTAGAAACTGCAATGTCAGTCAGAAAGGGGCTTCTGAACCACACGGGGCAATGCTCGCTAATGCAGAGTTGACCACTGTGGTGCAAACCATCATCTCACAAGATAGAAGACATCAATATTATAAAAATACAAGTTAAATTAATAAGATTATGAAGTCCAAACTTCCAAAGGTGCAGTGGTAACATGTTTACGGTGGCAGGGCACATGTGTGCTCCAAGCTATTGTGCAACGGTACCAAGCAGCGTAAACAACATCAATAGGTGTGGTGATTATAAAGTAAGGTAAAAGCTGTAAACTTAACCTGTCACAAACAAAGAAATAAACTCACCAGTTTGTTCACTCGGAGTTGTGAGGAGTAGAATTTGAAAACCTCTGCCTTTTTGTCTAAGGGTTTGATAGTAAACTGTAAAAGCGAAAATAATGTTTGCATTAAATTTGCTTTAATATCAGTTATTATTTTCAAAATGTATTATTATTCTGGGGGAATCATAGGAAGCTTCATTCTGATCTCTGGGTCATGCAAAAATATTCTATGCAGTAACTTAAAAACTGCTTTAAGTGTTTGAAAACCCCTGTTTCAGGTTAATATTGTCCTTGTCTGAAGCCACTTTAGAACGAATATTGCATTTCAAAATTTGAATTAAATCATGATGCATAGCACTTTTTGAATGTTGCAGCATTTTATGCAGTTATAACCTAATTTCAAGGAATGTACCAAAGTTATTCTGTTAAAAATAAATTGTGTAGAAGTAGTTCCTTATGCTCAAAGTTTTCGTAAAGATCTGTAGCTCAGCTTGTGGATGAGGCTGTTGACTTGCTCACCGAGCTGGCTTGTTTTTGTTCAGACATTTCGTCACGATGCTATGTGACATCATCAGTGGAGCCTCCAATGAAGTGATGTTATTCTACTCCGCTTGGAATTTATACTGTTTGGTCCATTATGGTGAGTAGTGTCGTTTCCGGTTTTGATCTGTATGGGTTTGTATATGGGGTCCAATTCTATGTGTCTGTTGATTGCATTATGGGTGGAGAACCATGCCTCTCAGAATTCCCGTGCGTGTCTATGTTTGGCTTGGGCTACTATGGTTACCTTGTCCCAGTTAAACTGATGGCCTTCATTGTCTGAGTGTACCAATATTAAGGAGAGTTCGTCGTGCCATTTTGCTGCTAGCTGATGTTCATGTATTCTGATGGCTAGTTTCCTACCTGTCTGTCCAATGTAGTGTTTGTGGCAGTCGTTGCATGGTATTTTGTAAACCACGGTGGCTATGCATGTTGTGCGAATGGGGTCTTTAATCCTTTGAACTGTTTGTTGTAGAGTGGCTGTGGGCTTACCCATACAGATCAAAACCAGAAATGACACTACTCACCATAATGGACCAAACAATATAAATTCCAAGCAGAGTAGAATAAAAAGCTTCATTGGAGGCTCCCCTAGCATGGTGATGAAACGTCTGAACGAGAACAAGCCAGCTTGACGAACCAGTCAA